AAATATTACAATTTTAAATCACCATCAGTACTCATTGTAAGTAATGACTTGGCTTGGTTTTAAAACGTGTGCACATTCCATTATCACTGTTGTTCAGCATAATATTCTGAGCAAGTGGTTTGATCCTTTACAAACAGGCCTCAAACGAACTTGACTCGTCAATAACTACCAGACATCTGCAGAATGATAAACACACGACAGAGAGTGACAATTATCTCCAGCTCCTCTCATTACATCTCCTGCTTTTTCCTACAGCCCAGCATCATTCTCCCAGTCTGGAGGCCTTTGGTTTCACCTGTCAGCTCAGTATCAGCTGGCTGGTCAGGGTGCTTGTAATCCAGAGCACATGTATTATTCAAGCTGCTCCAGTTCAGCTCATGAAAAAACCATGAGGCTTCCTCTGCAGACCACTTCTTTAATATGGCACCTAAACTTTTCAACCAGCTGGAGGACAGAACTGTGACAGGGCTGGTTGTGGAATTTAGTAAAGAATAAGAGTCTGAATCCTGATGAGGGAAAGATGTGAATCTGTTAAGTTAGAGGAGAGAAGATGAACTAATATGAGAGCTTATGTTATATCTTCATGTCCCATCTGGTTGTTCGACATGTAAACATCCAGCCTGCACGATACCAAGTAGATACGTGGGTTTTAACAATAGCTGCCGTCCACAGGCCCTTCTGTTAAAGATATGTTTTTTTATTTACAATGCAAATGTATGTTATCACTGAATAAAACAAACGCCAGAGATATGAATCAGAATGTGATGACATAAGAACTGTGTCGTTATCTCTGCTCTGCTGACAGGGAGAGGCAGTTAGCTAACTGCTGCTAGCTAACCGCTGCTAGCTGTGACACCTGACAACCAGCCATCTCATCCCAACACATCAAGTCAGGGGAGAAAACAGCCACCAACGCCGCCTCTGGGCTCCCTCCGCCCGCTAAATGTGACGCCAACCCGCCGTCAGAAGGTGCTACCTCGCGGACATATTGTATTTATCGAGACAGAGTTGATTTTAAAGGGCTAAAATACCTGCCGCCTCCTCCGGATCCTGGCCGCAGCGCCATCTTGATACCAGTGGTCGCTGGTAGCAGTGTGACGTCAGCAGTGACGAGGGTGCGCATGGGAGACTGAGGCCCGGGTTTGGTCTGTCAGGCACACAGTGCTCAAGGGATCAGGTGCTGCACTACAAATACAGTACAGCAGAAACAGTGTGGAATACATGGGTTATATGGTATAAAGTGATATGTGGTGGTATGATTAGATTGGTAGTAGTATTACCAAAATACAAAGGAGAACAACAGTGTAGTGTTACTATCAGTGTACCATGTGCCATTCTACACTATATTCTACTAAATGTGTATTTCGAGGAAAAAGTCAGTGGATAAAACCAGGACTGCGTCTGTAATGCATGTAGAGCTCTGCTCATTTTTACAAGCTGATCTGTGGAACTACACTTGCAGCTTATATAATATGTTTTTTTTATACTATGTTGCTTTCTATATTTTTCCAATCTTTGTTTAACACCCCAAAAAGTTGTATTTGTTCCAGGATGTGTACTGTATGTATCATAGGTAAGGTATGGTTTATAATGATGGGAAAAATACAAATATATTAGGTAAAAGTGAATATTTGAAGTCCCTGAATGTATGTTTTGTTTGTGGCACTAAATAAAAGTGATATTCTTTTAGTGTTATTTGTGTCTGTTTGCATTTCTGTGGAGCTGTGGACAGGAAAGGACAACAGGAGAACAGGCCAGATTAGCAGGCCTCCCCTGAAGTTTTTACTAAATCTCTTTTACTAAAGACTCCTGCCCTGAAACGTCCTTCATTTTGTACAGGAGCCAGTAGCATTTTGGAAATTGAGAGAAACTAATTAAAAGTTATTTTTAACTTTTTCTATAATTATAGCAGCTGTACATTTGAGTGAGATGACACTAGTACTATTACACTACCATTTTGTTTCCCTAATTAGGTGTTTTCGCTTAACTTAAACCTTCCCCCACCCCAACCAGTTGACTCTTATGATGCTTGACCTGACTCCAACCTAACCCTAACTAACCAGTTATCCTGACCTACTCTCCAGCCTTGTCTCTGATATTTAGTATTTGATATTCACCCTGGGAGGAGGCCCTTCCTGACTGGTAGAACACAGGGCAAGAAGTTCTCAATGCATTCACGTCCTTTACCAGCAGATGTCAATGTTTAACTTGTTTCCCACTTTGCTCAATGCGAGCCACTGCACAGGTTTCTAGTTTTGACCAAACAAACTGTGATTGAAGATGTTGTCTATGTCTTGTTGGAGTATTTGAGGCACGAGTAGCTGTGATCATAATGATTGAAAGTAAATGGTGATACTTTATCACAAAAAAACATCTAAAAAGTAGCTTGAGAGTGACAAAAAGATTCTCCATTCTGTA